GATCAAGTCTTCATTGCCTTTATTGGTAGATATACAACTTATCCAGCACTTGCACTCAAGCAAAATAAAATAAACCAGCAGATAAGAAAACCAAACAGAAACAAAACTAAAATTGCATCACAAAGTGCACATGACTAAGACAATACAGAAATTGAAAATTAAAGCTAGAATTGACACAAGCAATGAAGTTTCACCGATTAAAATGAAAGACAAACATGAACACACCATGGAAACACGAAAATCAGAACAGGGGGATGCGTGGACGAACACAACTCATGATACCACTTGATGGAACTTTCTCCTAGCATTAAGCACACAAGAAGAAGCTCCAAAACAAATGCATAGCGGAATGAGATTTGGTTTAGTGAAATGGATGCATAGAAAGGTGTTTGATGAAAGTTTGGATGAAGGTATGGTGTGTGTATGATGCCTCCAAGCTCAGAAGGCCTTCCTACTAAGGAAGGAAGCTAGAGGCCCTCTTATTTATAGGTGAAGAAAGGCCTCAATTCTGAGCTAATTTCCCTCCAAAATTCAAAATAAAAGACGAGCTTGGAGGCCAAGTTAGCTGGGTCACAGGAAGCATGCTAGGTCACATGGACAATGCTGCCAATACGTGCTTCAGGCTGCTTCGCTGGCGCTGGAGCCCCCCCTGTCTGAGGGCGCTTGAGCGGCCCTGGTGCTGATTCCTTGAAGAGTGCTTTTCCCAAATCTGATTGGTTGGCCAGGGTTCTTGCCTTTATTGTATCCTACAAATAAAACAACCATATAGTATTAAAAGAGGAATCCTTGTAAGACATAGAGAAAGAAAATCAAGAAAGAGCCTTTAAAATTTCTTCTTCAACTTCCCTTTCCTAGCCTTAGATTAAGTTGATACTCCTTTGAATGGAATGCTCTAAATGGGTTTCCCATCAAGTTACAAAAAGCTTTAAATCAAAGGAGTTTTGATCATCACAAGAAAAGGGGGGAGATTGTTAGCAAAATCTCTAAGTTAGAAATTTTAATGATGCCTAAATCAAGTCTCAAGTACTCAAGTTGCAAGAAGATCTTCCTAAAGACTTGTGTTTTATGTTAAGGCTTTTGTAATAAGTAGATTTATGTATAGAGCTGTATTTTTGGTTGATTCCTTTGTATGCTTTAAATTTCATTTTGGAGTCACAAAAACTCTGTAATAATCGATTAACACTTAAGATAATCGATTATCACAAAGAGGTTTTTAAATTTTGCTACAAACTCATTTTGTTTCTAGAGTAATTGATTACCAAATTAGGATACTCGATTATGACTTACCATAATCGATTATCACAACTAGCCGTTGAAGTTTTTAGGCATGTTTTTTTTACTGTTATGCATTCATTAAATGCATAATCGATTACCACTAGTAGATAATCGATTATCACACGAGAAATAGCTGACAACGAATTTTTGGAGGTGTCCTTTAGTGAGATCTTTATATATTGGTTTGAGACTCTCATTCTAATATACGAAAATGTTATATGATTGCTTTTAAGTTGTGAAAAATGTGTTCTAAGGTTTGTGTAACCCTTGTGTTGTGGCTTTGAGAACTTGGTGTTGGCATAGAGCGAGAACTTTCACTATGAGTGTGATTGAGTGTTGTTGTTGCTGAGTGAAGCCTATCATCGTTTGTAAAAATTCAAAGGAAATGTTCATCCTTCGTGAAGTATTCGGAGCAGGTGTTTATCCCTTGTGGCCTTTAGGGAAAGTGAGTTTCATCTCTTGTGGTAACAAGAGAGATGTTTCTAAACCCTTAAACTTGTTTTTCTCTGTGATTGTAAAAGTTTATTGGTTTTGTGAGTGGAACGTTAATCTCCGTTTGACATTAGCAACTGGACGTAGGATCGTTGTGATCTAAACTAGTATAAAATTCTCTGTGCAATTTTCTTTCTTTCTTACTCTCTATTATTGTTTTAATTATTTGCTAAGGAATTTAAAATAAAGAGAAAATTATTAAAGGCACGAATTTTGCAATAAGAAACTAATTCACCTCCTCCTTAGTTTGTTGTTCACACTAAGCATTTCGTTGCACCTCTATGACACATCTAGATTATTAAACAAAGAAGATTAATTTTCAACACAAATAGTATCATGGTTAACCATCAATTGCTCAAGCTATGAGTAGGTAGCATACGACTCCACAACATATGGAACCATAATAGCCTGAACAATAGTTTAGGCAAACTTAATTTGAACTTTATTGAGATCAGTTCAGGCAAACTTAATTTGAGCTTAATTTCTACTTTGAAACAAAACTGAGCCAACCATACAATTATTTGTTATTATCACAAGCTTTTGTATAGGTTTTTACTTTCCGCGTCTCTATATTTTGTTCATATACTTTTGTAGATGATAAGAAATATAAAGAAAATACTCCTTCATGGGTTTCATCTAAAAAACTTTAGATTGAGTAATTCGAAAAGTTTGGGATTGAAAAATATAGAAGTTAAAATATTATATTTTGTATTTTGGATTCCACAACTTCAAAATGCATTTCGAATCCAAAATGTGATATAGAATGATAGAAGGATGTTGGATGTTGAATGTTAATTAAGCACCTTCTGGTAGTGTTAATCGATCGGTAAACATATATAAAACTTGAAAATATAGTAATAAAACCTTATTTCATAAGCAAATCGAGGATAGCACAAGCATTTATCGTATTCAATCTAAGTAAGATTCCTGTTATAATCCCAAACACATTGATAAAAATTCTTATAACATAATCCGGAGTAAAAAGTAAAATCAACCCACAAACAACAAAAAACATTGGTTTAAAATTGAGAGGTGATTATGTACCATAGGTAGTGAATATTTAAGGAATAATAACAAGACATTGAATAAGGGAGACAATCACTGTTTATGTAATTTTTATTGTTTAATTTTTTTCAGGATTTTTCTGAATCAGTTTTAAATTTTGACTGGAGTTGTAAACCTATTTTATAAATGACCGTGACTTAGGCGTGATAAAAGTTCTGAGTGTGTTACATACATCCTTACATTAATTGTACTATTGTTGGAGTCTTTAAGTCATGCACGTGATTGCTTTTGTTCTATTTTTTTCTTCTATGGGGTTTGTTTCTCATCCTGTATATTTTCTGCACAAAGCTGTTTTCCCATTAGGTAATAATGCAAGTCAAGACATTGTGTGATTCACAAATTTGACTCCAACAAGTCCAATCCGCAAAATTTCAATATATGATGATTATACTTTTCGTGCTGGAACTCTAAAAATCAGAGTGAAGCAAGGGTTGGAACTTGGAATCTATTGAGCAAAAACATTTAGAGAAGTATGGGGTGGTTTGTGTCTGTTGTACTGAGTTTGTTGCTTTCTCATTTTCCTTCATGCCCGTCCTCATTGGTGACATTATGCAACAATGATGAAGCCTCTGCCTTGCTTGGCTTCAAGACCTCATTCAGTCTCGGTAGCCGATGTGGAGATGATGGTGGTTATCCAAAGACAGAATCTTGGAAAAATGGTACTGATTGCTGTTTGTGGGATGGGGTGAGTTGTGACACAAACTCAGGGCACGTCATTGGCTTAGACCTCAGCAGAAGTTGCTTTCATGGTCCATTTTATTCCAACAACACTCTCTTCAAACTCACTCACCTTCAAAAACTCAACCTTGCTCTCAATAACTTTTCCTCTTCTCCAATGCCTTCTGGGTTTGGTCATCTTCTCGCTCTCACTCATCTCAACTTATCTAACGCTGCTTTTAGTGGTGTCATTCCTTCCAAAATTTCTCACCTCTCAAAATTAGTTTCACTTGATCTCTCACTCTCACTGTCAGAAAGTAGGATGAGGGTTGAACCAGCATTCCTGGAAAAACTCATTGTAAATGCAACTCATTTAAGGGAGCTCACTCTTGATGGCCTAGACATGTCTTTGATTAAACCAAGTTCTCTGTCTTTGTTGGTCAACTTTTCATCCTCCTTGGTCTCTCTTGGACTTTCAAATACCATCTTGCAAGGGAAGTTACCAAATGACATATTCTATTTACCCAATCTTCAACAACTTAATTTGTCTTTGAATTATCTGGAAGGTGAGCTTCCACAGTTGAATCGGAGCACTACTCTTAGACACTTGGATCTCGGTGATAATGCTTTTTCAGGACATATTCAGTTTTTATCTAATCTCACGCAACTAAAACACTTGGACCTTGGTGCTAACAAATTCAGTGGCGAGATTCTATTATCACTTTCAAAGCTTCAACGTCTCACTTACATTGATATTCGGTATAACAATTTCACAGGACCCATTCCTCATTGCATGGGCAACATCTCACAATTAAACTATCTGTCCCTTCGTACGAATAAATTCAGTGGTGAGATTCCATCATCTCTTTTCGATCTTCAGCATCTTATTAACTTAGATCTTGCAGGTAATAATTTTGATGGTGAGATCCCCAATTTGTTTGGCAAGCTAAGCAAATTAGAACTTTTAGATCTTACTGGAAACAACCTAGTGGGCCAATTGCCATCATCGTCATTTGAGCTCACTCAGATTAGTTATTTAATCCTTTCAGGGAATAAATTAGTTGGACAAATACCTGATACAACCGGAGGACTTTCTAAATTAGCTTATCTGGATTTGTCCGATAACTTGTTGAATGGAACAATTCCGTCTTGGTGTTTTTCTTTGTCATCGTTAGTTTACTTAATCCTCGGTGGGAACCAGCTTACCGGCCCAATTGGCGAATTCTCTGGCTTTTCATTGTCTTATTGTGATCTCTCTAATAACAAGCTACAGGGTGGTATCCCCAAGTCAATATTTTTTCACCAAAATCTCTCTCAATTGATGCTATCATCAAATAACCTGAGTGGGCTTGTAGATCTTAGGAATTTTTCAAATCTTCAGGTGCTACGATCCCCTGCAAGTCGCAATTATCTTATTTTAGATCTTTCCAAGAACCAAATTCACGGAAGGATTCCAGAAGGATTTAATCATATGGCGGATACTTTGGATTATTTGGATCTTTCTCATAACCTGCTAACATCGGTTGGGAATCTCTCACTCTCGAGTAAGAATATGTATTACATTGACCTAAGCTTCAATATGTTGGAAGGAGATATTCCTGTTCCCCCATCTACCGTTCAATTCTTTTCTATCTCAAACAATAAATTGACTGGAGACATCTCTTCATCTCTTTGCAACGCAAGCTCCCTCGTGACACTCATCTTGTCTCACAACAACTTGACAGGCAAACTTCCAAAATGCGTTGGAAACTTGAGTAATCTTATAGTTTTGGATCTGCAGAGGAACAACCTTCGTGGAATCATACCCAGAAGCTATCTTGAGATAGAAACATTGGAAACTTTTAATTTTAATGGCAATCAATTGGAGGGACCATTACCTCGGCATGTGATCAAATGCAAACAACTAAGAGTTCTGGACCTTGGACACAATAACATACAGGATACATTTCCAAGTTGGTTAGAGTCACTTCAAGAGCTTCGAGTCCTTGTTTTACGTGCTAATAGGTTCAATGGTACCATCAATTGTTTCCAATCCAAGAACGATACATTTTCCAAGCTGACGGTTTTTGACATCTCCAACAATAATTTTCGAGGCAACTTGCCTGTAGCTTTATTCAAAAACTTCAAGGGAATGATGATCAATGTCCATAGTGTTTTGCAGTATATACGTCCTACTTATTATGGGTACAATGATTCAATTGAGGTCACAATCAAAGG